TAGATATGTGTATATGTTTGTGTGTCTATTAATCACTTGAGGATATCTATTAATTTGAGAGAGACAAAGAGAGAAAGAGAGATAAAAGCATTGATTCGTTGCCTCCCATACTCGCCCCAACTAGGGATAAAACCCGAAACTTAGGTATTTACCCTGGCCGGGAATTGAACCCACATCTTCTGGTGTTTGGACAACACTCCAACCAACTAAGCCACCATGTCAGGGCTTTGTGTATATATTACTTTTGTTTTAGAGATTTTAAGATAAGGAGACATTCTTTTTTAAGGGGGAAAATGAGATTGTTGACTCACCATTGTGTTTTGTACTTATGTGATTTTTAAAGTTTTTATACTATTTTGATTGAGATTTCTTGTCGCATACTTAGTCTAGCATACCTAGTCTTTTACATTCTTTAGTAAAAGAGTCTTTACTCTGGGAACCAGTCTATTATTTCAACATAGACCCTGGATAATATCTTTAAAAATCCTATATAATATAGAGGTAATATGCAAATTAACCCTCACACTCTCACAAGATGGCTGCCTATGACCAGGCCAGCAGGGGGGTTATTGAGGGACGACCAAATGACTGAAAAAGCAGGCTGCGTGGAGCAACCAGGCCGGCGGGGAGTGGGGCAGTTGGGGGCGACCAGGCCAGCAGTGGGGGCAGTTGGGGGCGATTAGGCTGGCAGGGGGGGCAGTGAGGGGTGACTAGGCCAGTGAGGGTGGCAGTTGGGGGGGACCAGGCCAGTGCGGGGGGCAGTTAGGGGCTACCAGGCTGGCAGAGGGGGCCAGTCGGGGGCAACCAGGCAGGCAGGCAGGTGAGTGATTAGGAGCCAGCAGTCCAGGATTGTGAGCGGGATGTCTGACTGCTGGTTTGGGCCCAATCCCCGGAATCGGGCTTAAACCGGCAGTCGGACATCCCCCCAAGGGGTCCTGGATTGGAGAGGGTGTAGGCCGGCCTGAGGGGACTCCCCCCACCCCCACACACACACCATGCATGAATTTCGTGCACCAGGCCTCTAGTATAACCTAAAAGACATAGATTAAACCAAAAGATATGTCTGTAAGGTAATGTGGGTGTGGGTTGGGTAGATGGGAACCTTTGCCCTCATGCAACCCAGATTTTAAACCATAGAAAGTTTGCAGGTGTTTTTGTTTGGTCTATACAGTTTTTGTTACTGTTTTTTTTCCTTCATTGTATTAATTTTTAGTTTCTCTCCCTTTTATTTTTGACCTTGCAATACTCTGTTTTCAGGGAACCATGAATGTCTTGTAGAGATACTGCTCTCCAAAATGCAGGCTTAAAGCATAGAAGGCATCTAACTGGATGATGATGATGATGATGATGATGATATTAATATTTCCTGGATTGTAAGTCTTTTTAAGGCAGGTTCTACAGCAGGGGTGGGAAACATCCAGCCTTTGAAATCATTTGGTCTGGCATTAGAGGTGAGTTAAATGTTTGACCAAATATAACAGGCTAATTTTTAAATTGATACTTTTGTATGGCCTGCAAATCCTATATAATAAAAGCCTAATATGCTAAGTGTCCGGTCATCTGGTCGTCCGTTCAACCAATCAAAGCATAATATGCTAATGATATGCTAAGGCCACTCAACCTTTCCCTATGACGTGCACTGACCACCAGGGGGCAGATAGTCAACCAGTCACTATGACGTGCTCTGACCACCAGGGGGCAGACGATCCAACTGGTTGGTTAGCTTGCTGCTGGGGTCTGGCCAATGGGACTGAGCTAATGGGCTGGACATGTTCTGGAGCCCTCTCGGGGTCCCTTCCCGGCCCCGATTGTGTACTGGTGGGGGCTCCTCGATCTGATCTGTGCCCTCCCAATCCAGGACCCCTAGAGGGATGTCGGAGAGGCAGTTTCTGCTTAATCCCACAGGCCAGGCTGAGGGATCCCAATGGTGCACAAATTCGTGCACTGGGCCTCTAATGATGTTATAAATATCCAAATGGCCCTTGGCAGAAAAAGGTTCTTCATGGCTCAACTCTCTTTGTATTAAATTTTGGAAGGGATGCTAAATGCCACATGGTCTAGCAATGCATCCTTTGCTTTACTCTCTGCAGCATGTGCAGCCCATGTTTGAATGCTTTTATTTTGGCAGGAAGCTGCCGTCTGTGGCAGCCCTTTCTGATATTGTACAGTCTTCTCTGCTTAGTAGAAAGTTATATTGAGGCATACTTTGTTCCAGGTGCTCTCCATTTGTGGTTGTAGTTCTACCCCTTATGGTTAGCAATATGGCTGAAAATCCAGTTAAATGACTGGACATGGAAAACATTTAGTAAATCTGTATAGGATTGAACTGAATTGTGAAATTTGACTCATTAAGTTTTTGAATTAAGATGTGGAACTAAATATATCCTGGACTAAAGTATGAACATGATTTTCCACCAGATTAAGTTTTGGTCATGCCATTTTTGTGCCTGTGAGTGTGAACATATAAATGCCATTTATGTAGTTGTGCAGTTGTAGTATGTACATGCAGGTCTTTGGCTCTCAAATTTTAAAAATAGAATTCACATAAAAATATGCAGATTTCTGACTTCTCTTATAAAATTGGAAACTGGCATAACTAGGCAAACTGGATTTCCTCCCTAAAAGTTTGCTTAAATTGAGTAGCCATGGCTCTTTTCTGAGGATACACGGACTTTCTAATTAATTAAGCACAGTCCATAGCACATCATAGTGTTGTACTTTGCCTTTCCACTCATTTAACATTACTTGTCAGGGCCTTGTAGGCATTTGAGACGATCTTTTTGTGGATACTCAAACTTAATGTGTCCAAAACTGAGTTCTGATCTTACCTCTAAAATCTGCCCCATTTCAACCTTCCTCACTTCTCTGCTTTTCATTGCTCAGGCCAGAACTTTGGTGTTATCCCTGACTTAATTCTGTTTATCTCAAAATCTGTATCCAATCTGTCAGGAAATTCTATTGGGTATACCTTCAAAATACCTCTCATATCAGAAACTACTTTTTCCCTCCACCACAACATCCCTGGTCCATGCCACCATCATCTCTCACCTGAATTTTAGTCATAGTCTTCTAATTGATCTCTGCGTCCACCTTTACTCTACTGATTTCTCAGTACAATAGCCAGATGATTCTTTTAAAATGAAAGAGCATATTATTCCTGTGCTCAAAATCTATAGTGGCTCCTCATTTAACTTAGAATAAAAGCTGAAGTCTGTGTCATGTGGCAGCTTGTTACCTCACTGAATTGGTCTTTTACTATTCTCCCCCTGGCTGTACCATACTGTTCCCCTTGCTATACTTTATATGTGCAATGCACACTTCTATTTTTGGGTCTTTTATTCTCATTTTTCCATTTGTGTGGAATTCTTTCCCCCAAAAATGGCATGGCTAGGTTCCCTAATTCTTTACTCAAATGTTACTTTTTTAGTGAAGCTTGTACTGGTTATATTTTTAAAAATTGCACCCTTTCTTTTCCTACCAACCTCCCCTCTCACCCTATGTGTGCTATCCCTGTTCTTCCCCCACCTCCCCTACTATTTAACTGCTTTTAACATGTATTATTTATTGCTTTTATTATCATTTGCTTGTTCCACTGGAGTAGAAGTTATGTAAGGGAGGAATTTTGGTCTTTTATTTACTGATGTTTCCTAAATAAAAGAATAGTTCCTGGCATACAGTAGATGCTTAATAAACATTTGTTGAACAAGGGAATGAATTTGAGTTCCCTCAGGCCCTGGCTTCATCAGGAAGGACAGCTTCAGCTTTGTCAGGAAGGACGTCTGAAATGATATCCAGAAGATATCTGGTCTAATTAGCATATTACTCTTTTATTATGGATTGGACAATATTATTTTATCAGAAGTTAATATTATATATTGTTTTATTATATATTAGTACATTTATAGTGCTTATATGCAAAATACTATTATTTAAAAATATGTCTTTATTGATTTTTGAGAGGGAGAGGGAGGGGGAGGGGTAGAGAGATAGAAACATCTATGAGAGAGAAACATCAATCAGCTGTCTCCTGCATGCTCCCTACTGGGGATTGAGCCTGCAACCCAGGCATGTGCCCTGACTGAGAATCGCACTGGTGTCCTCTTGGTTCATGGGTTGATGCTCAGCCACTGAGCAATATTGGCCAGGTGCAAAATCCTATTTTAAGCCCTTCATGCGCAATCCTGACAACAATCCCGTGAGGTAGAAACCATTATAATCCACTTGTTAGAGGCAAGTAGACTAAGGGAAACTTGCCCAGAGTCACAGCTAGTAAGGGGAAGAACCAGGATTCACATTTAAGCAGTCATTTAGTAACCTGAGTTTGCTCTTAATTATAGCATATCCTTCTTTTTTTTAATTTTTGGAAATAAGCCTTCTATTACACGTATTGCAGGTCAGTTTGCTCTGTTTGTAGTTTTCTTAGATTTGTGGGGGCCGGGGGGTTGCATGTGTGCGTGTTTTCTTTTGTTTGCTTGTTTGTTTTTGACTTCCAGGTCTTTTCCTTTGAAGTTTTTCTGTTTATTTTTTAGAAGAGTTTTCTTGATTCTAAGATTTAAAAAATAAATTTACTGATTTCCCCCATTAGTTTTGATTTGTAGTAGAAGCTTAAGATAATGGGACAAGACGTAAACCTTGCGCTGTATAGATAGATCATATATTCATTGACAGCAGTATTTTTATTTTGTTACTCCTACTGCTTTCTTTTTCCTTTTCCAAATCTCATTTATTTGTTTCCCCATTCTTGTTTTTGTTGCTCCTTTTATTGTTCTCTTTTTCACTTTCACCTATCTTTCTTGTTTCTTAGGCCTTGTAAAGGTACTGCTTCATTGACATTAAAAGAAGTTTCCAGTTTCCATTGTAGAGAACTTTGGGGGGCAGGCCTACAGTGGTCACCAAATGTAGCAGCCATAACTATCCTTGACTTCTTGCATCCCAAAGTAATGTTTCATAGATTCCTGATGCTCCATGTCATAATCACTGTTTTTTAATACTTTGTTTTAGGAACTGCAGCCATGAATGAAGAAAATATAGATGGAACAAATGGATGCAGTAAAGTCCGAACTGGTACACAGAATGAAGCAGCGTTACTTGCTCTGATGGAAAAGACTGGTTACAACATGGTTCAAGAAAATGGGCAAAGGAAATTTGGTGGTCCTCCTCCAGGTGTGGATTCGTTTATGTTAAAAAAAATCGAAGCTTTAGTGTAGTCATTTTCATTATGTATATATCTTTACAAGTATCCCAAACAGTAGCTCTATTTTTTGTAACAGCTTTTAGACTTTAGCAATAATTTTTTGTTACTCCTCACCCGAGGATATTTTTCCAATGATTTTTTAGAGAGAGTGGAAGGGAAGGGAAGAGACACACAGAGAGAAACGATGATTGGTTGACTCCTGCATGTGTCCTGACCAGGGCTGGGGATAGAGCCTGCAATCAAGGTATGCACCCTTCACCCTTCAGTCCACGGGCTCTATCCATTGAGCCAAACTGGCTAGGGCAGCAATAATTTTTAATGTTAGGGAAAAGGTAGATTTTATGTTAGGCATATTTTACCATTACAGTTTTCAATTCTTTTGGATTAAGAAGCAGTTGAGCCCTAACTGGTTTGGCTCAGTGGATAGAGCGTCAGCCTGCGGACTGAAGGGTCCCAGGTTCGATTCCCGTCAAGGGCATGTACCTTGGTTTCAGGCACATCCCCAGTGGGGAGTGTGCAGGAGGCAGCTGATTGATGTTTCTCTCTCATTGATGTTTCTAACTCTCTATCCCTGTCCCTTCCTCTCTGTAAAAATTCAATAATATATATATGAAAAGAAGCAGTTGAGAAAGAATAGGTTGGTTTAGAAAGAAGTCAGGATTGAGTCAGTGCGGAAAAGGATACTCTAGAAATTAAAGGGGAGGTCTTTGGTAGGAATTTGAAAGACCAGTGAGTAGAGGGAGGAGTGGTGTCTACACTAGATGCAAATCAAAAGGCTAATATGCAAATTGACTGAACAGCAGAACGACCGGTTGCTATGATGCACACTGACCACCAGGGGACAGATGCTTAACGCAGGAGCTGCCCCCCTGGTAGTCAGTGCACTCCCACAGGGGGAGTGCCGCTCAGCCAGAGCTGGGCTTACGGCTGGTGAGTGCAGCTGCGGTGGTGGGAACCTCTCCCGCCCTCCCCAGCAGCACTAAGGATATCTGACTCTGGGGAGCGGGCCTAAGCTTTTAGTTGGACATCCCCTGAGGGCTGTGGGCCTGCGAGAGGATGCAGGCTGGGCTGATAGACCCCTCCTCCCCCCGGTAAACGAATTTCGTGCACTGAGCCTCTACTTAGATATGTTTTGTTTTTCTACTAAGAGCCAATGCATTTTCTTTGCTCAAAACCCTCCAATTAACTTCCTATCAGACTTAAAATGAAATCTTGGCCTTTAGTTACATTGATGACCACATTACTTACCACTTTACTCCTCCCTCAAGTACATGTTAGCCATGTAGCTTGCGTGTTCTGAGTTCTAATATACAAAGCACTTGCTTTTTCTTCTTCCTGATATATCCTCAGAGCTCATCCCCTCATTTCATTGAGGTGTCTGCTCAAACTTCATGTTATCAGACAAGATTTACCTGACTACAAAAACTAACCCTTCTGTGGCTGTATTTTTAAGACTGAGCACTTACTACTCAGTCTTCTTTCTGTATGGAATATATGCTTCGCGAGGGAAGGTGGTTCTGTTTTTTTCAGTCTAGGATCCCCCAGTGCCTAGAATAGTGCATGATACAAAGAAGGCTCTCTGTGCATTTATGCAATGAATGAATGAATAGTGAATATAAATATCTTATTAAAATTTATCTGTATTTATTTTTGTCTTTCAGGTTGGGAAGGTCCACCTCCACCTAGAGGCTGTGAAGTTTTTGTAGGAAAAATACCTCGCGATATGTATGAAGATGAGTTAGTCCCTGTATTTGAAAGAGCTGGGAAGATATATGAATTTCGACTTATGATGGAATTTAGTGGTGAAAATCGAGGTTATGCTTTTGTGATGTACACTACAAAAGAAGAAGCGCAGTTAGCCATCAGAATTCTTAATAATTATGAGATTCGACCAGGGAAGTTTATTGGTGTATGTGTAAGCTTGGATAATTGCAGATTATTTATTGGAGCTATTCCCAAGGAAAAGAAAAAAGAAGAAATTTTGGATGAAATGAAGAAAGTTACAGAAGGAGTTGTAGATGTCATTGTTTATCCAAGTGCGACTGATAAGACTAAAAATCGTGGTTTTGCATTTGTTGAATATGAATCTCACAGAGCTGCTGCTATGGCCCGGAGAAAACTAATTCCAGGTAAGCCTGTCCTTTTAAAGGTTATTTTTCCATATTCCCTCTATTGTAAATATTAAAAATGACAGTACCTTATAGATCAATATTATGAAAATACATAATGCCTTTAGAGGAATAAGGATTAAGTTAGTAAGTAAATGAAGAAGTTGTTTATATGAAATAAATATTTATAATTTACTGATTAATGGATGATATAAGTTAATTGTTGCTTATTAAAAATTCAGAAGACAATGTCTAATTCTTTTAATGATCTTTCTTTGAAGTATATTTGTTTAGTCTTTTTTTTTTATATTTTTTATTGATTAAGATATTACATATGTGTCCTTGTCCCCACGTTACCCTCTACCCCCCACCCCCCCCCACCCCCGCTCATGCCCTCACCCCCCCGTTGTCCATGTCCATTGGTTAGGCTTGTTTAGTCTTAAAATTAATTTCACCATAAGTTCTGATTTGGTTTGCCCTAGTAAATTTTCATGTGAGTGGGAAACTATAATACTTAACCAAATATATTGATATGTATTTGAGTTTCCACTTCTTTGGAGAAACAGATTTACTTAGCAGTATTTGACTTGTGTTTTAATTGTCTTCAGATTAACTTATTCTTTTTTGTAGGAACATTCCAACTATGGGGCCATACCATTCAAGTAGATTGGGCTGACCCAGAGAAAGAGGTTGATGAGGAAACCATGCAGAGAGTTAAAGTTCTCTATGTTAGAAATTTAATGATCTCAACTGCAGAGGAAACAATTAAAGCAGAATTCAATAAATTCAAACCTGGTGCAGTTGAAAGAGTAAAGAAACTTAGAGATTACGCTTTTGTTCATTTTTTCAACCGAGAAGATGCAGTGGCTGCTATGTCTGTTATGAATGGGAAGTGCATTGATGGAGCAAGTATTGAGGTAACACTGGCAAAACCAGTAAATAAAGAAAATACTTGGAGACAGCATCTTAATGGTCAGATTAGCCCCAATTCTGAAAACTTGATTGTGTTTGCTAACAAAGAAGAGAGCCATCCAAAAACTCTAGGAAAGTCACCAGCTCTTCCAGCTCGTCTCAATGGTCAGCATAGCCCAGGCCCCTCTGAAATTGATAGATGCACTTACCCATTTTTTCCTGGAACAAAGCTTACTCCAATTAGTATGTATTCTTTAAAATCAAATCATTTCAATTCTGCAGTAATGCATTTGGATTATTACTGCAACAAAAATAATTGGGCACCACCAGAATATTATTTATATTCAACAACAAGTCAAGATGGCAAAGTACTCTTGGTATATAAAATCGTTATTCCTGCTATTGCAAATGGATCCCAGAGTTACTTCATGCCAGACAAACTCTGTACTACGTTAGAAGATGCAAAGGAACTGGCAGCCCAGTTTACATTACTTCATTTGGGTAAGTTTAAAAATACTTTAAATAATATTGTAGAATATGGAATATTATAGATTATTTATAAATTCATTTATTTTGAATTCAACATTAGGGGTGAGTATTTAACATAAATTTTACCTCAGTTTTATGAATTTGTGGTAAATTTCGTTGAGACTCCTCCTATAGAGACTTCCTATGTTTAGCTTATTTATTTTTTAAAATATGTTTTTATTGATTTTAGAGAGAGAGGAAGTAAGAGGGAGAGAGAGAAACATTGGTGTGAGAGAGAAACATCCATTGGTTGTCTTCTGCACACCCCTTACCGAGAATCAAGCCAGCAACCCTGGCATGTGCCCTGACCGGGAATGGAAATGGACCTGTTGGTGCATGGGAGGATGCTCAACCAACTGCGTGAGCCATACCGGCCAGGGCTATTTAGTTTTTTAAAACATTACGTATTTACTTTAGAGTTTATGATTCTGTTTCATTAGTTTGTTTTGCAATGACTGATCCTAATTTGAAATAATTTCCATATAAGTTACAGGGTTTGTTACTTAAACCACTTTCTTTGGTAAAGCCTACCCAGTAATCTTTTTTGAGGGTAGGGGTAGGAAGTTGGTAAAATCAGGCATTTCAGGTGGGTCATTTGTAGACACAGCCTTATGCTCACCAATCTGGAAATTACTCATGAAAGACAAAAAGCATTACAAGATGTTTATGACCATTAATTTCAGGCTTTGAAAAAAGTAACTTTCTCTAAAACATTTGAGGGATAGTTAAGAAAAACTTAACTATCCTTTTGTAGTTCATAAGCATGATGATTGGGTGTTCACACTTTTTTAAAAAAATACATATTTTATTGATTTTTTTACAGAGAGGAAGGGAGAGGGGTAGAGAGAAACATCGATGAGAGAGAAACATCGGTCAGCTGCCTCCTGCACACCCCCCCACTGGGGATGTGCCCACAACCAAGGTACATGCCCTTGACCAAAATCAAACCTGTGACCCTTGAGTCCGCAGGCCGACGCTGTATCCACTGAGCCAAACCGGTCAGGGCAAGGGTGTTCACACTCTTATGTGAAATGTGCCTCCCACAAACCTTGTTACATCTTCAGCACATTTTCCCTCTGACATAAAAAAAGAAAGACTTTGGGCCATATGTTAACTAAATATTTGGCATTGTGAAGGAAGAGATGTAATACTGCTCTGGTATTTTCCTACTTTCTGTTTTTTGGTGTTTTGTTAGCTACCCACTTCCTACCAGTTTGTCTCATTTTTCAAATTGCAGCTATATATTTCAGTTGGTGATGACTTTGTGCCCCAAATAATATTTATTAGAAGAATAGTAGTTTCTTGAAAATCAACTATAAAAAGGAAAGATTACAAACTAAGGATTATAATTGTGTTTTTTTATTGCAGTAGTCAAACTCGCTAAGTTTAAAATTGATTTGTCATATGATTGCAGAATTGTATTACTGAAGCTTATATCCAATTAAAATTGATATCCTTAAATTTAAGATAATAAAAGAAAAACATTACCAAAAGAGAAAGTAATTTTTACATGTTATTTAGATTTACTTATCCATTATAGCCACTCCCCATGGTATTATGAATATTTTTAGGAGATTCTGATTTGGAGATCTGGTCATAACTTTAGGACTGAAGGTAGAGTTCCCTTCAAAGAAACTTTTCAGTACTGTCCTTAGTTATTATTTTGGAAATATTTGGTAATTTTAGTCATTTAAGTTAATAAATTATTAGGTATGGTTTCCATCAATGTACATAATAGAAACCTTCCATTTTTCTTTTAATAAAGACAAAGTTAAATATAAAATTAGGTGGGTAGCAAATAATTCAAATTAGGGTGCTGAAATATAATTTATTTCTATCCTCACTTATTTCCCTTACAAATTTAACTTAAATGTGATTCTTAAAACATAGTCTCCTTAGTTTATTTTATGTTAGATTTTTTTGTTTAGACATGGTTTCTCCATCTGGTTCTCCCATAAAGAAGATCAGATGTTAAATGAAACAGGAAGTTTTTCATCAGCTTTTAATTTAATATTAAAATGATTTTTTTTTTTTTTTACTTGAGTACTAGGGCCATAGTTAACTTGTTATAGCTTTTAGTTCCCAAAGAAAACCCCTGTTCAGGTACAGTATTCCCTGCTTGATTATGTTAATCAGGAATAAAATAAACTTCAATAAATGAAATCCTTAGAGGGCACAGGCAGTTTGCTTTATAGTCATCTATTTCAGATTTTATCAACTTCATATTAAAGCTTCTTATAATAAAAACTGGAACAATTTGTGTTTTATATATTTTTCAGTTTCTACTCACCATCAGAAAAAAGAGCTAAGCCAAATATAAGCCAAATTTTCAATTAAACTCTACGGGCTTGCTTGGATGCAGTATACAAGGCCTGAGGCCTTGTCTACAGACAGCAACAGAAAAATCCTTAGAGGCAACTGAGGAGAAGGAGAGAGGGAATTCAGGATGTGGAAGAGTCAGAGATCAGGGGTCTAGGAATTTATGATCGAAAAACAAATGTCAGCCTTTCAGTTGTCATTTAAGTCATGTCAGGTGCTGTAGACAGCCAGGAGATTATGTGATGCCACATGGCAGGTTAAGGATAGAGTTAATGTCATTGTGGTGATGATCTGATGTGATTTTCCCTTCTATTAATTGAGTGTCTGGGCTTTTAAAAAGTTGATGCGTTTTTACATGAAGTTTCCTTTAGATAAAGTTTGCAGGGTTTAATTGGATGATTCAGGGTTGAGATCATGGTGGTAGTGTTGTATTCTTAGAGGGGAAGGGGTGTTGTGTTTGTTACTGCTATCCTGCTAAATATTTACATGTTTCAAGCCTTAGATTTTTCTAAGATCTTGAGATGTTATTGATTTGTTGTGGAGTCCCCCAAATAGAGTTCATTAAGTATTAAATAACCTTTGGCTCTATTTTATTAAATAATTTGAATATAATTTTCTAGTTAGTGAATTTAACTATTATTTTAAGATGATCTCTTTCAGTGTAGTAATTACTTTAATATACTTCTATTAATTCTTTCAACTTGATGCTATTTTTTTTAGTTTGATGCTATTTTGAACATTATTATTTAATCTTACCTTGATCTTTGTTAATTTAGTTTTTATTTCAGAGCTCTTTAAGACTAGACTTTTAATTTCCACTTTGTTTTGGCATTACCATGTTCATTTTTCAAGTTTGAAAAAAAAGTAGACTTTATTTAGTTAAATTAAGACTCTCATTAGTGTTATGAGGAAAATAGAAGTTCTTTAAAGGGGCACTAGGCATCTAAATTAGAGTACTAGAAATCTGAGAGTTTACTTTTAGTGACCATTTAGTGCTCTTACCAGAATCCCAGAAACACTTGTTATATAGTCCCTTAACATTAATTTTTAAAATATTTTGGGGTGTTTTCTTTTGTTCCCATTAAAAGTGAGCTCGATTTTAAGCAAAATGCCCTTAAATAGGAGGAAAGCTGGAATTAATGCCAAAATTGAACCCTCATTTTTCTTTTACTTCAAAGTTAGAGACTATCTTCATCCTCATACTGTCAGAGAATAACCTCCCTAACCTCAACCCATAGGATAAGAAGTTGTGTTACCTGGTTATATTTAGGAACTTGTAATAAGTGGGATACTCATTGAATTTAATGGGTGGAATACAGAGTTGGGGCATAGGAGATAGATAGCTCTATACCAAATATTTGATGTATGGAGACTTCTTGGGTCATTTAATATCATCTTTTTAAATAAGACTTCTGTTTCAAAATACTGTATCTTTAATAATAGATCAGACTATGAGTGTGAATAATTCTGCTATTCTTAAAATTTTGCCTCTGTTTTGAATTGGGGCCTTCCATTATTGCCACTACTTTCTCCTGGAGGATTATTCATCATCTAGGACTGGAATAAGCAAAATCAAGGAGGTAAAGAAAAGCTCTGGAGAGTTATAATTTTGAAGAAGAAAGTCTTGGAGAATACTTACTGGAAGGAGGGAGGTCACCTCAGTGTGTATTGATAATTCACCTTAAGAGATATTTATTAACAACTCATTCAGGCAAGGCATTTATTTTCTTGTTTCTATGTTTGTAATACTGATGAAGTAGGGTTTTTGTTGTTGTTTTGTTTTTTTACTTGTATGACCACCTAAAGTTTTAAGACAGGGATGAAGAGCATCTTGTTACAAACCAGTTTATGCCATTGATTTAATTTAATCTGAGTATTCTATTGCTTTGGCCGTGACTGATGAAGTTTAATGAAAGAACAAATCTTTTTGAATGCCTTTCCTGTGCTAAGTGTACTTCCTAAGCAATCTGTAGCTAAAGATAAATAAAACATTGTTTTTGCTCTTGCGGAGTCACAGTCTACTGAAGAAGGCAAGCATAGGGTATTTTGGGAGTACAAAGAAAGGGCACACCTCATACCTGATCTGTGTTGTAAATGGTAAGAAGAGTTTATGGTCAGAGAGAGACACCACATAAGCGAACATTTAGAAAAACAGCATGGTGGTGGGTTAATGGCAGAGTTCTATATAATGTTTGTTTTGGTAATTTTAGTTAGATTTTAATAATTGGAAATAGTAAGTAGACTTTAGTTAATTGAAATTTCAGCAGTTCTGCTTTTTAAAACTTTGCAAGTACTGTATTTTTTTATTACAACTATGTTGATATTACTTGCTTTTCCTCTGAGCAAGTACTTTTTTTTCTAGATTAATCTATTCTGGTTTGTGTCGACCATTTTATGTGTGAATATTCATCTTTTTAATATTTTCCTGTATTTTCTTTTTTCAATATTCATTTTATGGCTGACGTGCATATTGCTTCTCATATTTGACTTTGTAATTACATACATTATTAGAATCTTTACTTTTTTCTGGACAGTGAGTGGTAAAGTATTTACCAAGTATGATAATCACTATTTGTTCTATTTTTTAATACTTAAATTCGATTTTGATTTCTGTTATCACTTATAACTTGGTTGAAAGTTGCAAAATAGAAGAC